GCCCCACAGGGGGCGGATCGGGGGCGTGGCCGGAGTGCACTGCGCTGTGGCTATTCCCTGCCCCCAGGGGCTTCAGCTGCAGAATCTCCGGGAGAAGCCTCCCCTGGACATTGTCCCACTGGTGCAGGTCCCAGAGCGTCCAGCTCAGCAACTGGGAGGTCCTGGAAGGAGGGTCCAGGACCATGTGTGACGAAGTGGGACTATTCTTAATGTTTCCTCTGAATACTGTAGGGGTGCCTCAGTTTCCCCTATGCAGTTCTTAAGTCTCTAGGTGGTGGGATAAAGGCCAGTGTGCATAATGGCCGACACTCTGTTTCCTGGCAACAAATGGCCGGGGTCCTTCCTCCCTGCAAGGGGATAGCTAAAGGTGAACAAAGAGATCAGGTGACCCAGAGGTGAAAGTAAGCCGGTCCGGTCCGGTCCTGCGTACCAGCAAGAGCCAGTACACCGTGCCGGATTGCACCGGGCGGGGCGCTCCGGGTCCTTTAAATCCTGCCCGCAGCTCCCGCCGCTGCAGGGAGCCCCGAGCCCTTTAATTTGCCCCTGAGCCTCGGGGGCTCCCAGCCACCTCTGCAGCTGGGAGACCCAGGGTGATTTAAAGGCCCTGGGGCTCCCAGCCACAGCTGGTGCCCCAGGGCCTTTAAATCTTGAGAGGCCCCGCCTCTTCCAGTTGAGGCCATGCCCCCCTCAGGACTCCGGCCGTACCGGTAAGTCCTGTAAGTTACTTTCACCCCTTAGGTGACCTCCTGGCCCGGGAAAGAGACAAAGGCCAGAGAGGAGGGGATGGAGAGTTTCAGTTTGGAGCTGGCTGGGGACGGGAAGTGAGTGCAGACGGGGTTGTCTGGCTCGCTGGGCTCCAGAATGGACCTGGCTGGGGGCCCCGTTCACTGTACCTACAAGCTCTGTTTTAGACTGTGTTCCTGTCATCTAATAAACCTCTGTTTTACTGGCTGGCTAAGAGTCACGTCTGACTGCGAAGTGGGGGGTGCGTGCAGGACCCTCTGGCTTCCCCAGGACCCCACCTGGGCGGACTCGCTGTGGGAAGCGCACGGAGGGGCATATGCTGAATGCTACAAGGTCAGACCCAGGAAGGAGAAGCCGTGTGAGCTTCTTGCCCTGAAAACAGTCTGCTCCAAAGAGAGGAGGCTCCCCAAAGTCCTGACTGGCTTTGTGGGGAGCAGTTCCAGAGCATTAGCGGGGGACTCCGTGACAACTGGTGGCAGCAGTGGGATGCACTGCACCCCATGAATGGCGCTTCTTGCAGTAAGTGACTGGGGAGCAGTAAAATGAAGGGCGGATAATGAGGACCAGGCGTGCTGAAGGCTCAGAGAGGGACGGTTTCAGGGAGCAATTAACCCCTGGGAGTGCGTGACCAGCGAGAAGGACTGTTGGAGTAACGGGGTCCCCCTGAGGACTGCAGCGAGCAGTCTCAAGGGCGGAGGAGCCTGCAGCTTGACCCTGGGAGAGAGAAGGACTTTTGCAGTAACAGGGTTCCCCTGGGGATTGCAGCGAGCGGTCCCAGGGGCGGAGAAGTTTGCAGCTCGACCCTGGCAAAGAGGTAGTGACCTCGAGAAGGGCTGGCACACTGGGGGGTCTTCCTGGAAACCGTGGGGGAGCTAAGAGCACAGGCCTGTGAGTCCAGAGCAACTTGGGAACAGTGAAGTGATGGCCTATCACCATCTCCTCAAGAAGGACATTGTGATCCTGTGCAAAAAGGGAGGGTTACGCATTGGGAAGTTCACCAAGGCCCAGTTCATCGCGCAGCTGGAGGACAAGGACCGCTCTAAGGAGCAGATTCCTGACCCAGATGGGGCTCCAAGAGGATCTGGAAGCAGCAGGAGCAGTAGCCAGGCATTCCCCAGAGTCTGGTCCCCAACCAGACGGGGGTCTTCACGATCGGGTTCCCCATCAGGGGATCGGAGATGGATGGGTTTGGAGCTGAGTCCGAGAGAGCAAGAGGACCGTGAGAGAGAGCAAGAGCCCAAGGAAAAGCTGCAGGAGAAGAAACAGCAGCATGGACTGGCGATGGTGGAGCGGAGCGGCATAGGGGACTTCCCAGGGGTGAGTGGGGATAGACCCCGGGCTGCCAGTACCGCAGGGAACCTCGACACTAAATTGCTGCCCCTGGTTAAGGGGGGGGGGGATGTGGATGCCCACCACACAGTCGTCGAGCAGGCGGGTGATTTGAACCAGGGGGACCCTGCGGAAGAGCCCCGGTATCTAGCCCCCTTGCTGGGTCCCAAGGCCATAGATGCTGTCAGCCAGATGGGTGGGGTAGTGGACAGGCTCCCACTCCTGGCCCCGGCCTATACGTCTGCGTGGAGTCTCCTGGGCTCAAGCCCCTCGGACCCCCAGTGGGAGCGGAGGGTGGTGGTCAATGGGGGGACATGCCTGGGGTAGCGAGACCCTGGGACAGAGAGAACTGTTGTCAGGCCCCGCGTGGTGCAGCCGCAGATGCTGAAGGGCTGTGACACCTGGGTGAGGGTCCCCGGGATGAAGCCCCTCGTCCTGCCTATGGCCCAGATCCCTGTGCAGACCCAGGAGGGGTCGGGCTGGCTGGTAGTTGGGGTTCTCCAGGATATCGGCTGTGAGGTCCTGTTGGGGGGTGACTGTGTCTCTTTGGGACAGGATCCAGGCCCTGCTCCTGTAATGGCGGAAGATTTGAATTTGAATCCAGGGAACCAATTGGCTAAGATGGAAATGGTCAGTGAAAATGCAAATGACCTGGCTGGCAGGGGGGAGGAGCTGCTGGGCTCAGAATACCTGCCTGTCTGTAACCAGACCCCTGGGGCTGAGTGGGAGGGAGAGATGCTCCCCGCCCCCCTGCACACCGGAGAGGGGGCTCACGCTGGCTCTGATGCTGTGACCAGAGCAGGGAGCTCCCTGCCTGCCCCCACTGGGACAGCAAGGGCAG